TGCAATGCTCTGCTGCACCTCAAAAATTATAATTTATATTTTTATTTAATTGTAAGTTTGCCCTAAATGTTTATGATTTTTATCAGTTAACATATGCAAATGTTATAATTTTCATCTAAATGGATATTTTAATTTTAAATAATTTCAGATATCAGTATCATTAACATTATTGAATTATTGCCTATCAATGGGTTTACAATTCTCTTATATTCTATTGTCATGCTGTTTTAGTTGGTATCTTTGAGTGGTATTCAATGGTATCGTTTCCTTTTCCGGTCTAGTTAAGCATTCGGAGGTTATAAAAGTTATTAAAAGATGCAGAAAGTAAGTTGTTTAATGATTAAATTTTTTATTAATTTTTAGTAGGATATTTTAATTAAGTTTGAACTATTTATTTTTCTAGCAAAAGAAAGAACCACTTCCCTCAGTTCAAGTTTTTGGAAGAAAGGTATGTGTTTACACGTGCATTCGGAGGTTATATATCATAGCTCATGTTTTACTTGAGTTTTAAATTAGTGCATTCTCGTATAACATAATTTAATTTATTCTACACGTACTACAACAAATCATTTACTGTTTGAATAGTTTTATACTTAAATCCATGATTTTAAATAAATACAGTGGTTAATTTCAGAAATCAGCTACAGCTGTGGCTTACTGTAGACGAGGGAAAGGAAATCTAAGAGTCAATGGACGTCCTTTGGAAAGAGTTGAACCATTAATGCTTCAAGATAAACTCCAAGAACCAATTTTGCTTTTAGGGAAGGTAAGCTAACTTGTTAACAATTAATCTTAAATGAATTCCATCGTTACTTTCTGATTACATGTAAAATAAAATGAAAGTGCTCTTTATGTACATAAAACACTACTTTCCTAACAACCTTATTAAAGCAAATATAAAAAGAACACTTATAGTTTTTTAGTAATAAGTGTTTTAAATGATGTGCATTTATCCCGAAACTGATAGAGTTTTGATGTGAAAAAGGATCTGATAGCTTTATTTATAATGTAACATATTTTGATTTATACCTGCAAAGTAAAAATTGACTTTACATTTAAGGAAAAATTCTCCAATGTTGACATTCGAGTAAGAGTTAATGGTGGTGGTCATGTATCCCAAATATATGCAATCAGACAGGCTATCTCAAAGGCTCTTGTTGCATATTATCAAAAATGTAAGTAATAATAGTCAATTTTGAATTGAAATTCTTAAAGAAGCTTCTTTTCCACAGATGTTGATGAAGCTTCAAAAAAAGAATTAAAGGATATCCTAATTCAATATGATAGGACTTTATTGGTAGCAGATCCACGTCGTTGTGAACCAAAGAAATTTGGAGGTCCAGGCGCCAGGGCCCGCTACCAAAAGTCTTACCGTTAAGTTTTGTACTGTACATGTATGTATTTCATTACATAACAATTTACTGATATATTTTTGTTTTTTAATTATTCCTAACAATTCTAGGAATTTATTTTGAAACAATATCCTTTAGTATAATGTAAATTTGGTGTATGGCTCTTTAAGTTTCCTTAAGAGTTCTATCACTTCAGCCAGCTTTAACATTAATTAAATTAAATGAATAGTAATACATTACAATTTAATTATAATTTATTAGAAAAAGAAATTTACATACTCATTGGGACCCAGGAATATTCCCATAATAAATTAATATTTTGTTCTTTACTGTTATAAAATTTCATACAAAATATAGATTTCTCGGTTTTCTGTTTACCTAATTTTTTAAAATTTATTTACTACTACTTTTTCAGTGTGCTAGAATGGAATATATCAATGGTTGTTTCATAGCACGGCCTAAAATCTAAATCATAAACTCCTAAGCAAAACTTATTTTCTGGTGCTTTGAAGTAGTCTAAGCCTCTGCCTATTTTAATTATCCAACCAGAACTTAATCTAAAAACAAAAGGTCTAATTTGAAAATACATTTTCTATAATAAGTTTGGTACTTACATTATTTGCCTATCATGTAATGTTTCTGAAAATTCAAAATTAAATTGTGTATTGTAAGTCTTTAAATTACTTTTTAAATCAGTTAACCATTTTTGTTGGTCACCATTGGTGTCTTTAGTAGTAACCATATGAATTGATTTAATGTTTTTGCACTTTTTAATAATTAATTCACAAAGTCTTAATAAATTCTGACATTGGTGAAATGTTCTTATATAAGGATCCTCAATTTCAGTAACATCTGTTCGTGGATGATTACATACTTAATCCTTCCGATTATTTATGAGAGAAAGCACTTTTTGTAAAATATTAACAAATTATTGAATGAAATGAAACGATAGTGATATCATTAATGCAAATCAAAATTTCCTTAATTAAAATATTCTGTAAAAAAATAAAAGTTTTACTTACCTTAATTATGTGGATTAATAGATTTGTCTTAACAGTACTGTTTAAAATTTTTGAAATTTTTGTTTACGCGCACATTTATTCGGATATTACGTACTTTTCGAACGAACCGCGTGAACTATACTCGAATTGCGCTGCGTTTGTGAAAGGGAGGAAATTTTCAGTAGTGGGGTATCACTTGAGTGCTATTGGTGAAAACTTTTTCAGTAGACTGTTAAGTTACTTTATCAAGTAACGTTTTAGGCAACCCATCATTCTCATTAGATGCATTTTTTTGCTGGTTTGATATTAAACAGTGTTATTATTTCTGATGCGAATGTATTTAGATAGGTATTACTTGCTAATCTTGCATCACAATTTAAGATATACTTGAAAGATTTATAACGTAAAATCCGATCTCGTTATCTCTTTCGAGTTTAATGGTATGGTATCCATCAAAAGAATTCAATTCAAGTAAGTAACAGCCACATTGCACTATTCAAGTACCTACTTTAAGTATAATTAAGAACTCACTTTTTTACTATAAATACGGTCTTAAGTGTCTAAATGGACATAAATAAAACCTAATGTACTTAATTTTGATATATAGGTATCTTTTTTTTATGTCGGTAAAACAAAGAACTTTTCTTTTTAAACCACTTGTGAAGATGCTTCTTCCTGCTTTGTAGGCATTTAAGAAAGTGGTTTCATTAGTAGTATAAAATATTAAAACATCCATGAATAAAGGCACTTATCTATTTTATAGTAATTAACAATAATAAATCATCCCATCTGTATTGTTCTTATTCCATATAGAAACAAGCGAATCACAAACTACGTTTGCAGTACCTATTAGTTTGCAACAAAGAATTTGTTGCACTTCCTGATTTGTTAATTGTTTTCATTTTTAGGATTTTGTAATTTAATAATAAGACGAAACATTTATAGTGTGTGACCAACACGCTTTTGATTAATTTTTTAAACTTATTCAAGGAAAACATGTAGGTACAACGACGTCAAAAGCATTTTCTATACTAATTGGAAAATCATTTTAAAATAGCGATTGCTGCTCCCGAAGATATAAAATAAGCATGTTTCATACCAATTTAAATTCTGCGTTCAGTAAAACAAAAAAAAATCATATCTACTTATAAATTATAAAACATATGATAGCAACTATTTAGGAATGTTGTACACAGAGAAAATGAAAAAGGAAAATTTACCTAAATATTGAAGTGATATTTACAATCTATCCCAATTAGCCCGTTGCATCGTAAGCGAAAATAATAAAAATTACAATTTGGACCCGAATTTGTAAAAATAAAATCCCAGCAGAAATAAATTCACTAGGTATTTTAATTGATATTACAAATTAAATTGTAATAATTAAGAAACTTGAAATAA